GACTGTAGGCATCCACTCCACAGCCCGTTAGCTTCCCTATGAGACTAGGGTACAAAACTGTGTCAAAGGCCTTCCTAAAATCCAGGTAGATGACATCAGCCTCAGCTCCTGTATCAAGGCAGTGTGTGACCTAGTCATAAAAGGCTATAAGGTTTGTCAGGCAGGATCTACCTGTGACGAACCCATGCTAGTTTCCTTTCAGCATTGTTTCTCCTGCTGGGCCTTCACAAATGCACTCTTTGATGATTTTTTCCAGTATTTTCCCAGAGATAGAGGCAAGACTGACTGGTCTAAAGTTACCCGGCTCATCCCTTCTCCCCTTCTTAAAAATGGGCACCATGTTGGCCCTTTTCCAGTCCCCAGGGACCTGGGCGGAGCACCATGAGTTCTCAAACAGCCGTGCCAGCAGCTCAGCTATGACATTGGCCAATTCCTTCAGCACCCATGGATGGAGGTCGTCCAGGCCGGCTGACTTGTACCCATCCAGCCCTTCCAAGTGCTCTTTAGCCAAAGGTTAGTGCTGGCTTAGTTGTCTGGTGCCTCTTGGACATCTGTCTATGCTCAAGGTGGAGGAATTGTCTTGGTCAGTATTTAGGAATACTGAAGTAAAGAACACATTGAAGAGCTCTGCCTTTTTCTCTGCATCAACCACCAACTGACCTGATTTGTCCTGCAGGGGTGTTATGTTACTCTGCACTTTCCTTTTGCTCGCTATGTATCTGTAGAAGGACTTTTTATTGTCCTTAATTTTTGAAGCCAGCCTAAGCTCCAGTCCTGCCTTGGCCTGCCTAACTGACTCCCTGCAATAGCGTGTCAGGGTGGTGTATGCCTCCTTGGTGGCTGCCCCCTGCTCCTAAATCTCTTTCTTTGCACTCAGTCTTTCCTGGAGCTCCCTGTTCAGCCAAGGGGGCTCACCTACCATGAATCCAGTGGTGAGCAAACTGTAGTTTAAAGTCAGCTATAGCACTGGTTCTCAATGTTGCACAACAATCCATTTAATAATATTTGGAGTAGTTATCTACTAATAAGCAGGGATCCTGGTTTGCTCTGATAAAAAAAAATCCCAGTTTTCAGATTTAAAAAAGTAACCCAAAATCTGCAGACGCAGACGCATATATTTTGGGTTACTTTTTTTAATTTATATTTATCACGGCGGGGTCCTATAGGAGGGCCGTGATCTCCTTAAGGCCCTCTCTCCATGCCAATTCGGCCCAAGGGCACCCTCGACCCCCTGGGGGTCTCCCGGTATGATGGGTGCTCCCCAGGCACCCTAGCCTTATGGGCTATGCGTGGCTCCTACCAACCCCTAATACCACGCCCCAAGCCTCGCAGATGGGATAGACGCTGGTATGTCTCTCTATACTATTGCCCCTTTCTGGGCTCTTACTGGGCCCACTCTGGGCTCTCTCTAATACAGTGCCCCTCACTGGGATTCTTAGTAACACCGCCCCTATCTTGGGACTCTTGAGGCCCACTCTGGGCCTTCTCTAAAATAATCTAGTCCACTTTGGGACGTCCTCTCGAGCCACCGGTATTTTAGGCCCACCGCACTACTAACCTCTCGTTGGCCGGGCACACTGTGCTGCTATCCCCTTTTCCTGGGGACCACCGCAGCACTGCCCTTCTCTGGGGCACTGTGCTGCTAACCCCTTTGGTCTGGGTCCACCGCAGCACCCTGCCCCTGTCCTGGGTTTTTCCGTAGTGCTAGCCTGTTACCGGGCTCGCTACGCCCGTCCTGGGCTTCTCAATCTGGCCCCTCTTGGGCCTCTCAAACATTGCCCCTCTTGGGCCTCGCAATGGTCCCCCTTCTCTGGGACCTTCCAGGCCCCACTGGGCTCCTTAATAATACCGCCCCCTGTTTGGGGCTCTCCATGCCCAGCCTGGGCTTCCTAATAAAATCACCCTTCTCTTGGGACTTGCTGTGCCCACGCTGGGGCTCTTTAAATGCCCCTCTCTGGGCTGGGGTCTACACACCCCGCAAGTTGCGCCCCTCACTGGCGCTAGGGCCCCCGCACCACTGTGGGTCCCTTTGAGGATAATGCGCCCTCTTGGCACTAGGGCCCCCCCCACCTCTGGGGTCCCTATGAGGCCTCCTCCAACCCCTATAGCCTCACCCAAACCACCGGTGTAATACACTAGAACACAAACATAAACTTGAGCCCCCTGGCTATAACCAAAACCCAAGGCACTGGGCCCTAACAACATAAGCCTCCTGGCTGTAATTTAACATCATTGCTCCAGCCTCTGGAGCTCTCGCGATCTATACTTGCTGTTAAGCTCCCCCCCCCCCATCTTAACTGCAGGAACTCCTGCCCCTCTGACTGCTGGCAGGGAACTGCTAGCCTGGCCTTGACTCTAGGCTTTATAGGAGCCAGGCCCTGCCCCCTACAGGCAGCTGACTCTTATCAGTTGCCCTGGCAACCCACAGCTGTACTCATTATCGCTGATAGGGCTTTTCCCCAGCAGTTTTCCCCTCTCTAGGAGCGGGGCAGCGGGGTGCGCTGTGACAATATATATATATATATATGATGACATTTCATACATATGGTGGCATTCATTTTAATCACAGAAAAATGTGGATTTTGGGTTATGTTTTTTAATCCAAAAATTGGGGATTTTTTTTTTTTAGCAGAGAAAACCAAGATTCCTGCTAATAAGAGATAGCCCTTCCTATTTAAATAACAAATACCCATGACAATCTTGGACCAGGAACAATTGGATTTCTCATACAGTTTTGGTGGTCCTTTTTCACTTGTTTCCTGTATTTATTTAATATTTCACATTTGCCTATCTCATCTTTGCTAGCAGCATTATATTCAGAAAGAACACAGTATCTATGGCTATTTTCTTACATTTCCTCAATCCTTAAATGGAAATTGCCCTGTTATGACATGATATCCTTTATACAGAATCCCATCCTATGCAGCAATTTTATCTCTACAGTCTAATGAGTGGTTATGTCTAGAGTGGCCTGTACTTTTTGTATCTATCTATTCAGCCCTCTAGAATTATGCTCTTGGAACTGTTACAAAATGAGCCAGTTTTTCTTTTCTCATTTAAGTTTTTCTCTCTCTCCCTTGCAGAGTGAGTATTACTTGGACCATATTTATTTCAAATTCCTGTACTTACAAATTGGTATTCAATATTTATATGTGCTTTTGAAATAGTATCACCACTAAAGGAATACCTTACCTGCCCTGCATTTCATATTTAACCTAAGTGATCATTTTCTTAAATCTAGAAGATTGTGAGGATTGTTTCTTTTTTATTTGTTTACTTTAACTAGATTTTTCCATACGATTTCTGTGGGTTAACAGAGCTTATAGTCTGCTTTTTACCTTAACCAGATTTTTCCCATATCCAAAAAACACTCACTATTGTTTTTAAATGCCATAATTTTTTCCAATCTGTTTGAATCCTTTGCTGCTTCAATCACTGCCTTGGAAGCATATGCAATTGGCTACTGGTACAAACAATACTTATAATCTACAGATAGAGATAAAGGGATGCTTCCAGTCATTTTTGTGATATGCACCAACAACAGTTGATCACATGCAAAAAAAACCCCTCTTAGATCTTAGGTTTGTGTTTAAATGGCTACACACACAAATTTCACCTGTTCAACTTGCATAATCCACTTATGCAAGAAACAAGGGTTGTTGTGGATGATATCCTTTATTGGATCAACTGTGTGAAGCGATAGATTTAGACAAGCTTTCAAATACATCTGAAAGCTTGTCTTGTCTATCCCAAACATGCAGTTGGTTCAATATAAGATATCATGAGGGATCCTAGTTTTCTCTGATTAAAAAAAAAAATCCCCAATTTTCAGGTTTAAAAAAAGTAACCCCAAATCCGCATTTTTCTGTGATTAAAATGAAACAACTCTCTCTCTCTCTCTCTATATATATATATATAGTCTTGAAGTCACAATCTCATGTAACCATTCCCTCTAGATTTTGCAATTCTTTTCTGGCAATGAGTCATTAATGTGTCCTTTTTACACACCCAAATGTCTGACTATGTCAAACCAGGTGCAACTGGAAAATCCCTGTTTATGACTAATACATTAAGATTATTTTCCCAGAAATCTGTTTCCTCTATACATTCACAAAGCCTGTCTTTGTAGTTCCTGAATAAAAGTTAACAGTGAAAGCAAAATGCTTATAGTGATTTAAATAACTATATCTAGTACTTGCCAAGAAAATGCTAAAAAAGAAATATTTTAACTTGATTATACCTCTCCTGAAAAGTACACACATTTATAAATCTGAGGTTAGTAGTATAGAGAAAAGGCTTACATTATACCTATAAAGCTCATCTCTAGGAAATAAACTTGGAAAACAATATTAGAGAAGAAAAAACATGCAATGCTTTCAATGTCTTCTGAACCCAGCAGTCTTTCCTGCCCAAGTGCAGGGGAGCTGGACCCAATGATCTTGTAAGGTCCCTTCCAGCCCCTAACATCTATGAATCTATATTTCACACCTAATTCTGATCACACACCGCTGCAAGCAGAGAAACCAATACCCTGTTGGCAATAAGATCAGAATCAGGGGTCAGACTGGCAGTCTGTTAACTGTCATTGCTCTATTGACTTCCTTGTGACCATACCAACTCATGCAGCCCTATATCCTCAAAAACACATAGCTTAACAAATCTTGAACTCTTTGTACAAACCATTTACATCTAGACAAAACAAGTTCAAAGTGGGTAGAAAGGCTAACATTCTAATTTGTTTTTTTTAGTTAATATACATGAAAAGAGATTCATAAAGTAAAGAAAATGAGAAATAGAAATAAAAGTTTATAACAGACACTGCTTTTAGTCCTTGGAAATAGAATAGAGGATATGAATGTGAGCTTACATAGAAGAAAGTACTCATAGTGCAAATTGAAGGGTAACTTGAAAATTATATAGTGAGAACTAAAATCTCATTTTTAAACATGAATTTTCAATATTTATTCTTTCTTTCCTCCACATTGCATGGAAAATGACAGAAACATCAGTATTAACTAAAAGGATATGATGTAAAGTAACTATTACCTGGGCAAGTTACAGCAGTATCCCCCACAGACCAGTTCCAAGTTCATCTGCTCTTAACTATATTAAATCAAAAAAGGATAAAGTTCAAGATAATCACTGATAACAGTAAGTATTACTATCATATAATAAAGCAGTTGTATAGCTACTGTTTATTGGAATTTAGAAGGTCATCTCAAAGCTAGTCAAGGTTAAGTACTTAGATATATTACTGACAATGCTTTTGAACAGACTGTACCTTTAAAGAACTGTGTCAGTAGGTACCAATCGCGTGATATCTGTAGGTATTTAAAAGAGAAAGAGAGCAAGCCAACAATGTTTTAGCTTCACTTCAGAGTCCTGTGATATGAAGTATCATAAAAAACAAACAAACCCAAACGCATATACCTCATTCCCACCAAGAGTTTTAAAATAGCTAAGAAAATATAGCTTCAAAATCTTAGAAGACTTACAATTAAGGTTTGAGTGAAGCTAAGGGAGCACACAAAATTTCAGTGTTTTTAACATATTGGTTAATATCTATTATTCCAAGAGGGGAAGATGAACAGGGAGGTAGTGAAATTCACAGATAACATTATTTAGGTTATTCAAAGCCAGAGAGCATTGCAAGAAACTTCAGTGAGACTTAATCAAGCAAAAGTGAATGGGCAACACAATGGCAAATTAACTTTAATTTTAATAAATTCAAAGTAATACATGTGGAAGAAAAAAATTTAACTATTCACAAATCAAGGATTCTAAATTAGCTGTATCAGATTAGAAAAGGAACCTTAGCTTGAGCATGGTCAATGCAGTGAAAACCTGTGATCAGCTGCTGCTGTAGCCCCCCCAAAAATTTAAAAAGCTGAGCTGTTTGTCACCTAAGGAATAAGATAGAGATTAAAACAGGGGCAGGTCTTTGATGGGCTTTTTGTTTTGTTGCATCATACTTTAATTCTGCTAAAGCAATTTTTCTTTATTTCAGTACTGGAAACTGTGCTAGGAGTGATTTCTCCTGGTCATTTACTTGTACATAAACTCACGTGGCCCGATGATCTGGCGGCATTGGCAGCACATGTTCTGGCAGCACAGTTTTAAGGCAGAACTGAATCATTTCCCCTTCCCATGGTTCAAGAAATCTATGCCACTTACTAGATCTATTTAGGCTCCCTCTGCACACTACAGGTATCGCATAATTAACTCGTTATCTGTGCAATTACTTTAAGACCGACTACACATGCAAAGAAGTTATTATGCCATAAAAGGTGCAACCAGCTATAAAGTTAGACCTTGAAAATATGTACTAACTTTATAACTGGTTACTATCAAGCTTTAATTTGCATGTGTAGTGAGGTCTCCCTGGTGGCTGGGAGCCCCATGACCTGACAGGGATGCACATTGCCCAGCCAGGGCACCTGAGGGGACTCTAAGCCCCAGCAGCTGCCAAATCTGGGTCCCAGCAGAACAGGGACCCTGAGTCCCAAATCCAGGGCAGGATTAACCCTTTAGTGAGCCTTAGGCAAACAAACTCATGGGCCCCAGGCTGGTTGAGATCTCCCTCCCCATCCTGGCGCTGACCCCGGCCCATGGGGAGTGGGGCTTCGAGCCACCAGTAGGAAGCAGCCGCCACAGTGGTGAGGCCAATGGAGGGGAGGTGGAAAGGTAGATGTGGATTAAGGATTTTTAAGGCCCTGGGCAAGGAAAAAATTGGAGGCCTCCTTCCCCCACTAGAGCTCCCTGGACTGGCCTGGTCCCTCCCTGCGTTGCTGGACACACACACACACACACAGAGGCACAGGGAA